TACAGTGTGTGTTGAGTATTTTGACCAATCGCAGTTCTTATTTCTGGTGTTCTGACAAATCAAGGTATTTAGTTAAAGATTCAGTTTTGTTCAACCTAAAACAGGGCAGTCTTTAACATACAATTAGTCCAGCAATGTTTTAGATGCTGTTGAAAGCACAATTTATATCCATTTGCTGAGTTTAACATATTAGAAAAAAATAAAACAAAATACTAAATGTGCCATAACTTTGCTTGGGCCACATTTTATTTTACTTTTCCACAATATGCACAATTCAGGAAATACACAGTAACTGTGCAGAAGTATGTTCTCTGTAGAGTGTGTATACACCTAGAAAATCAACATAACATGTAATTTGATGGTAGATGCCCAAACCTTTGCATACAACTGTGTATCATGAGGTGCATCATAACTGCAGTATGAAGTAATAAAATTGGATTGCTGAAAATCCAAAATTTGAGTGCTGACTTACTAAAAATTTAGGGTATTAGTCCATCTTTCCTCTAGTAGTAATTTTAGTAAATTAGTAAATTGTTTCCTTATTCAATTCAATCAGTTACATTAACATTTTAGACGATCCAAAGCAACAAATTAAAATGGCAGCACATCTAATATGAAGCATCATCTTTGCCAGCTTGGTGGTGCGTGAAATCCAGGCAAGCCAAAGCACAGCTTCAGACTAGCCAAGGGGAAGTCAGAGACTTGCCAGATCAACACACACACACACACACACACACACACGCACACACACATGTTCAAACTGCATCCAGAAAGGTGATATCTTGGAGGCATACATGTGACTAAAGCTGCCAAGTAGGTTGAGGTCAAGTAGGACATATTTCACACTTGACTCTCTAGCACAAGCCCGGCCATCTCTTCAGTACTAGAATACTAAGTCTGAGACAAAGAGATTCCTTTTCTTCGTTAAGAGGAAATGCATTTAACTTCTCTTTCAGCCTCAATGAAGTAATTGTGCTCCCGACTCCAATCACAGAGACTGCATTATAATCCAGTAAAGCCTCCCTGGCTCACTGTATAGAAGCCCACTCTGGTATTATGTTCAGAGATATTAATTAATTAAGGTCACTGATGACCATTCCCAAGAAAACAGCAAGAATAAGGAGTGACTCTCTGCCCAGTAGTACCAGTGGACAAACAAGTGGCCCGTTGTCTACATATGCTCAGTTCCTGGACAGTCTTGTTAGCTAAACAAACCCACAACAAGCAGATCTTCATAAAAGAGCCTTTAGCACCAGAGTGATGTGAATGACCTCATGAGTAAGCCGGGAGGTGGAAAGTGTGCTGGCAGCGGGGGCATGACCGAGCACGTCGGGCGATGCAGTCAAAGAAAGCCCACAGTGTGGATCGCAGGAATAGCTCTTCACTTTTAAAGGTGTCCAACAGCAACTGTTCAGTGGACATCCCGAATTTTACATCAGGGATGACCAGTTCTGGTCCTGGAGAGCTGGTGTCCAACACAGTCGCGTGACCGTCCTGCTGAAACTTATCCTGGTAACGACCTAATGAGGTGAACTAGGGGTGTCTGAGCAGCTGCACTGGACACCAGCCCTCCAGGACTGTAACTCATGACCCCTGTTGTACAGGTTCACTGACCTACAAACATAATACCCACTGACAGTGTCTCATAAAGGTTTTTTTAATTTAAGAAACACTTTTAAGTGACTAAATGCTGCAAATGTGTCAGAGAAGTAGCCATCTCTGTAGGGCTGAAAGATGTGGAGAAAATATGTGATTTTCCTGACCAATACTGTGATATCAATTTAAATGTGCAATTGTATTTTTTTTCTTTTTCACCAAAAATACTAATTTTACCAAGACTGGCACCAGCATTGATTTTTTTAGGTTTCAGACTTTAACGCAAAACACAGTATGCCAGACTGCTTTCTCTTTAATAGGTTAAATTTCCCCATAAAAATTAGAACAGCACAGAATAATGAAGCAAATAAAATTACAGCTTGAGCCATTTAAAAATGGCACACTTGTAAATTGCTATTTCCACATAAAAATTATTCATTGCTCAGTCATACATCTCTGGTACTTTGCCCAAAAATAAAAAACACCAATTGTAATACTTCTGACTGGAATTTAACAAAAAAAGGGGAAAATAAGTTCACAGAAGTTGCCCAGACTTGTAATGGAACATTCATAATGAAACACTACAAGCGCACATTTGATGAAATAAAACTGAGTCATAATGGAAACAAGATGTACTTTAAGATGTACTTTAAGATAATGTGTGCTCAACTGGGCAGGTATCATGCACAAGTGGTGAGCAGAAGGTCAACAAAAAGGATTTTGTTGTTGTGTTCTTACACTATTATTACTGACCAAGCTTGGTCTGAAAAGCCAAGCTGGTAATTATTCGTCCAGCACACTTATTTAACCACTGTACATAAATAGAGTAGGGTACGACTGAAAAAAATACTTTGTAGGCCGAACAAAAGATCTGCAGTACTATTATAGGGTACTACAGTCCTACATCACTACTACACTACTACTACAGGAATCCTATAGCTTCCTACAGTTTGACAGGGTACCAGATATATACAGTATTACTGGAATATAATGCAGAGGTGAAAAGATTATAGATTATTCTATAAGAATTAAACAGCATTACAGAAAATTATACAGCACTCACAGTTGGTTATTGTAATATTACAGTTCTTTTTATAAGCGACTGACAAAGTCTTTAAGTATAAACGTGTGACTGCGGTCAGCAGGCGCATGGTCTTAAGACTCGAGACCCAGTCAGAGTTTTTGACCTTGTCCTATTACATCTCAGCATATCTACCTTCTGATTAGCCAGATCAGACGGAGGCCCACGGCAAGGCATAAAGCTTAAGACAGTAGACTGTGTAGTAGAACCTCTACCAATCGAGGAAAGAACGCATTGCCAAAGCCGTTTAGTCTGCAATTCCAGCAGACAGACAGCAAACTGAGCATCACTGATGAGAGTATAATGTATGGTAACTGAAGGACAGTCTCATTTACAAGCAGCGCAGGGCAGACCCAGATCACATGATCATCACAGAGAGGTGACAAGAGAAGGAGGAAGTTTCAGCTACAGCAGTGTATATACACCCACCTCTGTCTATATAAACAGTGAAATGTCATTTTCCTTATGCTAAAAAAATGCCATAAGATGCCCTTGTTATCTAAACTACACTCATAAAAAAGATTTTTTCAAGGGTTCCTTACTAAAGGGACTGGCTCTATTTAGAATCATGAGTTCTATATAGAACCTTTTCATGCTTAAATGTTTCTTTGCATCCTGCCTTTCACCCAATGACCGCTGGGATAGGCTCCAACATCCCCTGCGACCCAGAAGGATAAGCAGCTTAGATAGTGTGTGTGTGTTTCTTTGCATGGTGAAATCGATCTTCAAGGAGAATGTGTTCCATACGGTTCTATGTAGAACCTTTTTGTAACAATAGCAGAGGCCTTTTTGATGCTATAAAGAAACCTTTTCAGAAACATAGCACCACATACAACACATTCTCCATCAATCTGAAGAACCATTTCACCATGCAAAGTACACCCTTAAAAAAAGATGGTTCTTCAAGTGTTCTTTAGTAAAGAAAATGGTTCTATACAGAACCATGAACACTCAAAGGACCCTTTGCATGATTAGAAGGTTCTTTGCATCATAAAAGCGTTCTTCAGATTGAGGAGGAAGGTCCTGTAGATGGTTCTACTTGGAACCTTTTTGAAAAGGCTTCGATGTAGTACCCAAAAGGGTTCTTCTATTGTTACAAGCTTGACACTGTAACAACAGAAGAACCCTCTTCTAAAAAAATGTTTTATATAGAAGCATCTACAGCACATTCTGAAGAACCTTCATGATGCAAAGGGTTCTTTGAGTGTTTATGGCTCTTTATAAAACCATTTTCTTTACTCAAGAACCCTTAAAGAATCTTTTTTAAGAGTATACAATCCAAGTATAAAATGGTTCTATATAGAACTCACGGTTCTTCCTTTTCTAAAAAAAGATCTGAAGAACCATCTTTTTTTAAGTGTGTATATGATCAGTTCAGCTGCATTAATCCAGTAATTGATTCCACAGAGCCTCAGTGAGGACAGTTCAAAGAGCAGCGACAGCCGCTGCATAGCGAGAGAGAGAGAGAGAGAGAGAGAGAGCGAGAGAGAGAGAGAGAGAGAGAGAGAGAGAGAGAGAGAGAGAGAGAGAGAGAGAGAGATGACTAACACAAATACGACAAACACCGAGGCTAACGCGTGTTTCTTAGCACTAACACGGTCTTTCTGAGAGGTTTCGGAGCAGACTGGATCTACAGGATCCCAGCTCGGAGTCCCAGAGGCACAGAGAAGACCACATTAGCGCTTGTACTAAAACATGCACCTTCACACACATAGACTTCAAACTAGCTCGCTTCCCGAAAGGAATATAAGATACAAGACGGAAATAATAAGCCTTTTATGAAAGACGACTTTCAGGGGCTGCTCAGTATATCGCCAGTAACCGAAATTGAAAGAAAGCCGGCTTGTACTGAGTTCCTGAGCCCGGGCAGCTAGCTTAACTAAGCTAACGCTAGCCAGCTCCCCAAACGAAACCCCATTTAAAGACGAGTCAGTCACAGGCTCAGCGATTAACTTACTCACTGCCCAGGGGCAAAAACACCTTTTTGTAAGGCTCAGACCCAAGAAACCCAGCCACTACCTGAACACACTGCAGAACGTTACCAGCTGCTAAATCTCCACAGAATGAACCTTCACGTAAGTTAGCTGTTAGCCATTTAACTAACCCAGCTAGCTTAGCCACTACCTGTGATAAAACCCATATCCTGGTCTTCGACAACTCGTTATTATTCACAAACACCCTGTTTATCTATCTTCTACAACGACACAGAAATGACAAAATCATTAAAAATGGAAAATCCGTCGGCTAACTCGTCTCATTCGGGGTCCCACGAGTCAACGCTGTGTTATGCACAAAAATGAGCATTAACGCTTTGGCTACTTACACGTAGATGATGGACATGAAATGCATGAGCCAGAGAACAATAAATAAGAGAAATCCGAAGATGGAGAACGCTTGCATAGCGACATCGAGCAGGGCCATGGCTGTGCCTTCAGTGCAGTGACAGACACGGCTGTTTTGGCCCTGATTAGTGAAACGATGCGAAGACGAGAGTCAGACTAAAAGAGGCGGGACCTGCTGCTTAGTAAGCGGGTGGGTTACGGAATTGGAGGTGAGTTACGGAGTTGGGGGTGGGGCAGGGGGCGGTCAGGACTAGGTTTAGATTTAAGGTGGAACTGGTCTTAAGGTGCTCCTAGATATGGGCTGTGTTAGGTCAGAACTGGATTAGTGGTGGGCTTGTGTAGGGGTGGGTTAGTGTCAGGCTTGTGTTGTGGTGGGTTAGCGGTGGGCTAGTGTCGAGCTTGTGTTGGGGTGCGTTAGCGGTGGGTTTGTGTAGGGGTGGGATAGAAATAGGCTAGTGAAGGGGAGGGTTAGTAGTGGGCTTGTATTAGGGTGGGTTCGTGCTGGGCTTGTATTAGGGTGAGTTAGTGGTGGGTAAGTGGTTGATTAGTAGAGGGCTTGTGTTTGGTTGGGTTAATGGTGGATTAGTGTCAGGCTTGTGTTGGATGGGTTAGCGGTGGGCTAGTGCCGAGCTTGTGTTGGGGTGGGTTAGCGGTGGGTTTGTGTAGGGGTGGGATAGGAGTAGGCTTGTGTAGGGGAGGGTTAGTGGTGGACTTGTATTAGGGTGGGTTAGTGGTGGGCTTGTGTAGGTGAGGGTTAGTGGTGGGTTAGTGATGGGCTTGTGTTGGGGTGCGTTAGTGGTAGGCTCATGTTGGGTGGGTTAGTGGTGCTGAGGTCAGTTTAGGGTGTTATGGAGTTGGGGTTGGGTTTGCAGTTAGTTAGGGTTGGGGTAGGTTTGTAGTGGGTTTAAGGTAAACTTGGATTAAGGATGTTCTTAGGTATGGTCAGGGCAAAGTTTGAATTTAGTAGTGGGTTTGTATTGGGGTGGGTCAGTGGTGGGTTTTTGTTGATGGTATGGTTGTATTGGAGTGGGTCAGTGGTGGGTTTTTGTTGATGGTATGGTTGTATTGGAGCGGGTCAGTGGTGGGTTTGTGTTGGGATGAGTTGATGGTGTGCTTGTGTTTCGGTGGGTTTGAGCTGGGGTTAGAGTTGGTTTGGATTTGGGGTAGGTTAGTGGTGGGCTTGTCTTGGGGTGGGTTTGGGGTGAGTTTGGAGTGAGTTTGGGGTGGGTTTGGATTTGTGATGGGATTGAGGTGGGCGTAGGATGAGCAGACTTGGGGTGGGTTTTAGATTTGGGGTGGGTTTGTATTTGAGAGGATTTGGAATGGGTTTGGGATGGGCAGTGGCAGATGTTTTTTTTTAATTTTAGAATGTTGCTTTATTAATACTTCTTAAATTAAATTATTCAACTTATTTACAGGTTCAGTTTTTCAGATCCCGAGTGCTCACCTGCCTGCTTATGTTGATTATAATTTATCGTCCTTGCCACACCCTCCCAAAGTTTCAGATCTAGAATCAATGTTGCAATCTGCAGTCTCCAAATAGATGGTTTGCTTTCAGGTTGTGTTTAGAACAAAACATAGGAATATAGACTACACAAAAACAGTACTAGAAAAAAATACTTTAAAATTAGTTTTCTGAAAAACCCTTATATAATTCTTCCACATCTGCTTACTGAGCCTCACATCCACACAATGAACTACAAACAACAAATCTGCCAAGCCTTAAACATGTGACACAGGTAGATGTCAAGGACAGCAAACACGAAACCTGATTGTGATTATATGATAAAATGGTTTACATGCCACAGTACATTTCTAAATATATCAACATCTGACCTGTACAACTGACAGAGAAAAGGGTGAGGACCAACTTCGGAAGGACTGCCATACTTAACATATGGCAGTGCAATACTGATTGGGCCTCACAGCTAACTCTCTATTAATTAGCAACTGTAAGCTGAGATCAACTTTCTGTTTTCTGAGCAGCAGAAACTTAATGTGCATCAGCTTTGAAAGTTTTGAAATTTCAAAGCGGAAGAAATGTGAGCACTAAGAAGAGACGATTACTTCTCAGAAATATTGTATGTGAGGAGGACACGTGACTTGTGTCTTGGTAAAAAAAAAATGGAGGCTCAAACCTGCTCAGGTTTAAATAACAGGGGAAGCTCATTCAGTAACAGGTACCGACACTGATCCAGATGTATGCCTTTAGGATTTAGAATGCCAGCTGCTCAAAGTGTTTTGTGTAAACCCATTAGAACAGTTGGAAAATTGTGCCTCTTTTGGCCACACACCTATTTATTTTATTCACAGTGGAATTTCTGTGAATATGACCACTGGCTCCACTATAATCATGTTTGCACAAAACATCTCATTATGTCATATGATATCTTCTGGACCGAGGCCTTTTCTTGATGATAGTGCTGGATTTTGTTTCTGTGAAACTAGCCAGGAATGAACTAAGTGAAAACAGTACAGTCATGGCTGTTCCTTTATCAGTCATAAGGCTATGACATCACTGCTGACATCACTGTTTGGAAACCAGCATGACCTGGTGAAGGGTGACACAGAAAGAGAGGGTAAGTACATTGTATTCAGGATTTAGTAATGCTGCTGCCCTGAAGCAGTACTACTACGCCCTAAAAACATGGTTCTTCAAGGGTTCTTTAGCAAAGCTAGTGGCTCTATATAGAACCGTGAACACTCAGAACACTGTGAATGCATGAACAGTTATTTGCCTGGTCAAATGGTTCTGATCTATGATGGAACAGTTGTACATGTTTTTTAAGGACGCTTTTTAATATTGGTTTTATATAGCGACATAAAGAGCATTTTATGGTACTATATAGAACCTTTTTGCTAAGAGTGTACTTTTTGGGCATTAAAAAGTGTGTTTAATTTAAATTTGACAGTGATGTATCGTCACTCATTGATAAAAGTTATTTAATCATAAGTGTTTAAATATTTATTATTATTATGCCTAAAATTTTTCTATATAACACCAAAAAAAGTTCCACTATCGTGTGTATATCTATATAATTAATAATAATTATTTAATCTGAATAATTATACATGTACATATATATTTTCTCACTATTATGATCTTTATTTCATTACATTTATATTATATTATTATAACATCCACAAAATGGTTCTATATAGCACCAAAAAGAGTTGTATATATATATATATATATATATATATATATATATATATATATATATATACACATATTATTTAATCCAAATAATTATATGTGTACATATCTCAAGATTATGGTCTTTATTTCATTATTATATTATAATTATGTCCAAAGAATGTTTCTATATAACACCAAAAAGGTTCCATTATTGTTGCAAGACAAATAACATTTTATTTTCATGGTACTATATAGAAATATTTTTTGCTAAAAGTGAACTTTGTGACATTATAAAAATATCATTACTAATTCCTGAATAAAATGTAATTTCCCTTTCTTCCTGTGTCACCTTTCACTAGATCATGCGGGTTTCTAAACAGTGACGCCAGGGCCAATAAAGGTGTGGCTGTTATCGTGTGGTTTCACTTGATGCATTGTTGACCATTGTTGTTGTTCTTGTCCTTCTTATTACTATTGTTACTACTATTACAAAGTGCTTTACAGTAAAACTAAAACCACAACAGAGGAAAAAGAAGAAAAAGGACTAAACAACATATAGTAAACTACAAAGAGAAGAAACGAAAAAAATGATGCTAAATGATGAAAGCTGTATGTAGCTCTCTGAGCATTGTCCAATCTCGGTTGATATACCCAAACTCAGAGTCAGGAGACCTGATCAGATGGGAGTACTCCATCTTTGCTCTATTATGTAATAAAAGTTGAACAGGTTAGGTTGCACTGTAAAGACCGAATTGTGAAGTCAAGTTCGGATTTCCATTTGTGGTGCGTGTTGCAATCATCTTATGCAAATCATTTTTTTCACTCAGCAGGAAGTTGTGCTTCATATGAATACATACCAGTGTGACTGAATCATGTTTGTTTCTATCTACAACAACGCAGTACTTTCTGTGAAAAATCAGTTTTCTGAAAAACTCTCATTGAGTAATTCTTCCATATTTGCTTATTGAGCTCCATGTCCACACCTTGGCATACAAGCAACAAATCTGCCACCCTTAAACATGTGACACAAGTAAATGTCAAGGACAGCAAAGGCGAAAGCTGACGGTGATTATGTGATAAAAAGGTTTACACGCCACAGTGCATTTCCAAATATATCAACACTTGGGCTATACAACTGACAGATAAAGCTTTATTAGTAAGAGTAAAGGACGAGGGCCAACTTCGGAGGGAGTGCCATGCGGAACATACGGTGGCGTGATACTGATTGGGCCTTACAGCTAACAGTCTGTAAGCTGAGATCATCTTTGTATTTTCAGTGGAAACTGAACATGTCTAAAAAAAAACTAACCAATATCACAGTGTGGTTGAATCCTCTTTGTCTCTACCTAGAACAGCGTAGTGGTTTCTGTGATGGAAAGAGACAGCATATCCCCACTAATGTTTTGAGTATACAGCTATAAAGATTTCTGGGAAAGTGCCTTCACACTCTCACACCACAGAGCTCTACTCCAGGGCTTTGAGGATTAATTTGGTGTGTCTAGTTAATTAACATAACTTTCAGGGTGAATAGTTTTTTCAAGAGGTTTCTAACTATGACAGGCCTACATATTAGTAGACTATCATAATAACAGCCTATTAAACAATCACTTTTAATACTGTGGCAAAGACTATGACACAAATCAATAGTGAATGAAAAGGTAATACAGGAATCTGCACTAACATATCCATCAGGATGTCCACAGCGAGAGCCATAGATTTTCTAGGAAGATTAGACACTGCCATCTTGTGGTCATGTTAAAGAGTTGCAGCTGTTGCGAGAAGGGTCTGGCTGCAAGACATGCACTCTCAGCCTACATCCGCCGCCAGCCTATTGATGACGTCAGTGCACGCTCTGCCACGTGTTTTTGTCGGTTTTATGAGGAAAAACAGAGAATCACGTACTGTTTGGACAACAAGAGTTACACTGAATGTATATTAACGTTACCAGACTGATAATAAGATAATCAAATATGGAAACTTTCAAAATAAAACCTGCCACGACGATAAGAGTTAAATGTTGGGT